GAATATGCCGATAAGACTATTCTATTTGGTGAAGATGCTGAAAAAGTGCTGTTTTCTCACAACCTTGAGCAAAACTGGAATCATGTTCAGGTTTCATTTTTCCGTAGAAATTTATAGTGTTTCTACTACGTTGATTTATATCGGCACCTGAACTAGTGATAGGGTGTGAAGTGGTTGAACGCGGTGACTGCTTCACTTATCTCTAGAGTCTCGTCAGTGCTGATGGTCTTGTGGCTGACGAAGTGTCAGCACGGATACAATTGTCCAGACCGGCTTTTGCCCACCCGCCTCACTTATGGCGTAGGCAAAATATCCGTTCGCTAACCAAAGGACGAGTGTACTACGCGTCAGTTCGCGTCGTCCTATTTTATACGTTCGATCATGGCCGGTAAGGATTAAGGGTAATCGTAGGTTACTGGTTTTCGATCATAGGTGTCTCTGAAGCATTGCTCGTATATCTTGGGAATATCGAGTAAGCGATGCAGTCGTTAGGAAATAAATACGAGTTAGAGATGGCTAATCAATAGATGAAGTATTGAAACTTCATTAGTTGAGCTGGTTTGGATATGTGTCACTTATCCCCAACTGCCTCTACAAGCGATTTTTTGTGGTGTAGGAGAAGTGTGAAGAAAGCTAGTGGCGGCCAAACCCAAACATAGAAAAAATGTAGGAAGTCTCTGACAAGTGGACTGAGTCATGTTGGTTGATGTAGGCTACCTGGTTGGGGCCTGTGAGACAATAGTAACCGATGATTATAGAACCTGAATGACATGGCCCAAAACAGTTTGCAATTGCATAGGTTTATTCATTCTTTGTGTTCTCTCAAATCCTTACCATCAGAGTTCCTCATCACCTTCATCTTTTCCTTGTTTTAAGTTTATTTCACTCGATTCTTCCTCTTGAATAATATACTCAAACCCTCATCTCTTCGATTACCGCGCATACCTCTACTACCATGGGATTCGGATTGACAATTGCGTTTCTGTGCTAAGGTGGTATGGCGAGTTAAACTGATGTACGTGCGTATGAAGTTCTACTTTGTAACTGGGGGTAAATAAAACGTTTTAAAGTTATCACTGTCTGATTGCAAAATACACGTTCATTAATTTTGTTTAATTCTCTGATCATCCGTTGTTTAACATGGGCTTCTTTTAGCGCTATCCAGTTGCCTTCGGATTGTTCCTAATCTTTTTTTATCCATCTTAAATGAAATTAAAATCCATCACTCAAAAGAAATATCTTCATGTTTCAATCATATAACCTGTTTGATTTAACCATTCCTTTTCCTTCACATACTGATGGTTCTGTTTAAAGATAAAAGTTCATGTCTACTTTATCAATAATTCAAATTAGAAATCACTCCTAACTTCTGGATTGTTCAGTGTATTTTTATGTCAATGATCTCGTCTTTACAAATCGTTTACCTTGGTTTTTCACAAAACACAAATAATGTTTCGAGAATTGCTTACAAATCCTAGACAGCATTTCCACCAAACATCTCAATAATAATACAACGGATTTTCAGGATACCTTAAAATTCTTGTTGATAATAAGGTATGATAGAGGATGAGCCAAAAGACAAATTGAAATAGCCTTGTGATTTTGATGTAAATTCTCAATAATTACGTGTCATGAACAAAAAGATCTGTCTAACTGTAATGGTTCCTGTTGTTTAACTAGTTTTTCAAGGCTTACTATCGTATTTCTGAACGCAATGTTATCGAAATATCGCTAGGATAACCTCATGCATTCGACTGTGAATATAATTAAGCTTAAAAAAAACTCTTTTCTCAATCTTTCCTACCACCATCAATGGCTGTATGGGATATTGATCAATGACTACAAAATTTTTGTTGGTTGTTATACGACACCAGTTAGGATTCGGAATTCATCTATGGAAATCATTATAGATTTTAACGTTTCTACACTACCAGCTTCCTCATCATTCGCCACTGTTTAACTAATTTTTTGACAATTTGCTTTGTACCAAGTAAGTTGAAAGAAACGTTCATTGGTGCACATAAACACTTAAGTCGTCTCTTACCATCATCTTATAAAAAAAGATGTTCTACAATAACTTTTAACACCATTAGCAGCATGCAAACAAAATTATATACTCTTATTTTACATTTTATATAGAATGTGAAATAAACTTTGAACATTTTTGAATTTTATTTCGAACATCGCAAGTTGTTTCCTTGATCCTTGTCCATTCGTTCGTTGTTAGATGCTGCAGTTACACCAGTAATAATTAACAACCATTTGGTGTCTTTGAGAACTTTTAAAGTTATTTTATTTCATGCGATATTAGATTTCATTTTTTAAATATAGAAAAACCACCTATGCAATAATTTATTATCTTATTCCACTCATGTCTTGTGACTGTGCACGCATGTCGATGACCTCTAAACAATATTTGTTTTGTTTCATCATTAACACTTTATTGGATCATTTCCAGTTTTAGTCTTAGTAGACTTAATGATTTGTTGTGTGATACGCTTTTAACTATATACAATTGTTTTTCTGTCTGATGTTACTGTCTGAGCATCTTACTGCTTGATTAATAATATGTTGGAAAATAATGCGTGAAACTAAAAAAACTAATAGAAGCATCTACTCAATATTAGTTTACACAGATAGATAGGCATTAGGTAAGAGAAAATCAAGCCATTGGAATGATTAGTGATCGACTATTTAGTGACATAATTCACGAAACACAAGTTGGATTGATTCAATTCAGTCAGTGATTAATGTGTTGTATATTTGCTTCAAGTGATTTGATCAATAGTTATGATTATTTTAACCTGATTGTTTGCTGCTCAAGCAGTTGTGAAGAGCATTCGACTGAAGTTCATTTATGTTTTATTCAATTCATTAAATAAAGCGTATTATCTTATACAAATAAAATTTTCATGATGAAAATATAGACTGCATGTATTTTCTCAATGCTACTTAGTTACTTCTTTTTAGTTAATCGTCGTTAATTTTGAGCTCCATTAAAATTTTGTATTGTCTGTATACTATGCATCATTATAATAAGTCGAATATTACAGCTGTGATATTTTAGTCCAATTCATCATTATCAAATTTAGTTATGCAAATGATTTTTTGGTTGGAACCGGCTTTTACTTCGCATAGCAGTTTAACATTTCTAGAAGAGGTTTATTGTATGTATGTTAACGGACGAATATTTCAAATAATTTAATTAATTGTTTCAGCTTTACCGTTGATCCCACCTACATGGATCCAACGATATTTATTTATGCTATCAGCTTTTTTTCTTATTGTTGTTCGTATCAAAACAAATTTATTTTTGCTTAAAACTATTTTTCAGTTTCTGTTTTTTACAGTAGTAATTTTTTTTAACTCTCTTAAGAGTTTCATTCTCAACAGCATAAGGCCATCCAACATTTGCCATCTTTTTTTTAACCATTGTAACCGAATCCCTCATGTCAGTTGTTAAGTCATCTATTTTCTGTGTTTGTAATTGTTTTTATAATATATATTCACAGAAATAAATATTATGTTGTTTGATTAGTCCTCGGTCGAAACCTACCAATAAGGCCCGTACTAAGCTTAATTAGCCCAATAATGTCAAATATATCTCCATTAACGACAATGTAAATTTGCCTATAACTGACACCTGAATTCTAGAATTCAATGTTTCACTCTATAATATACACCTATTTTCTTGTATCTTCTATCTACCAAGCAGGAATAAAAGAACTGATCCAGAGAGTTCGATGACTTGAAATTAATTCCTTTTCTCTTTCTCTCTTCTTATTTCTCGGTTCAATAAAAATTAACGGAATTGTTTGTTTTAAATATTTGTTTTACAACTCAACAGATGAATTCAGCGAATTATTTTCTATTAATATTTACTTAAGCTCAATTATTTAGTCAAATTACACAAATTGAATGTACACATTAAAAAATTTGCAAATATTTTTTTTTTAATGCAAAACAAACAGCTTTTTTTTTTTTATAGGTTTCATCAAGTTCTGATTGATGCCATAGGTACAACGTTTTTAAATATAGGTTTGACTAGATTGAGGACATAATAATAATGTTTCAATTAGCTAGGTTATGAACACTAACTCCTTGAGAATATGTTAGTTATCAAACAAGATTTTTGAAATTCCAACTTGACTTATTCAGATACACAGTTTTCCAATGTAGGTTAGTAAGTTATTCTATTCTCCGTAATAGTAAAGTATGTGTAGGAAGTTTTTTGTGATGATTCGAAACACAGTCAATTATTTTGATTAATGTTTGTCAATCGATTGGATTGGATTCAGTGATTCAATTTATGTATTCTTAATTGTTGATAAATATTCTGTGTATTAAATTACTAGAATTCAGCTTGTTTTTTAATTCTTTCACATTCTGTACTCATTAAAGCTGGTTCACTTTTTTTAAAGGTTTTAGTTTGTGAGTGAAAATAACTTTTTGGCTTTTAGTGTTACTTATTGATTGTCAATTAGATAGATGATAATAATAAACGGAACACTTTGTATTAATCATTTCAAACAAAAAAGATAGAATCGATCACGTTACTGTAAATATTGAAAGGTTATTATTCTAGGAATAAGTCTTCATCCCAGACCTAGTGTTATATATATATATATATTCACGAGTTTAGAAATTATAAAGGCTTTAATTATTTGAATAAAATGTATGGAGAGAAACTACTGAATCAGTAAGTTGACTATATTCGATCTCATTGAAATCGATTCACAAAGCACTGCTTCAACCATGATTATTATTAAGTGACTTTAAGAATCTTGTCAAAGTTTTCCCTACAATTAGAAAAAAATTAGTCATCCGACAAATGTGACATTGTCATTTAACTAGATTCATGTAATCACGCCCGATTAATGAATCAACCAAATAAAACTATATTTTTGAATTCTGGTCAGTCGCATGGATATGATTTCCCTATGATATATATATATATATATATCGCTAATTTACTGTTAATTTTATTTCTTATTTGACAGCTTGCGGTGAATCAATACTTCTTAACACAACAAAATAGTTCCACGTAAGCACAAATTTCATATCGTGTTTTATAATCTGTATACTTCCTCTATATATCACTATGATGTTTGTTGCATTGTTTTTTTTTTCAAATTTCAAAGTGCTGTTATAGTTTCAAATAATTAAAATGGATAATAATAATAATAATTTACTGAAAATACGTTGTGTATACAATGCGACACTTAACTAATGATACGCATAGTTCATAAAAATGTTTTCTTGTTGTTATGTAGTATCAAAGCGATACAAATTTATAAAAAAATCACTAGTGCTAGGTAGACTCAGTTGATTTGTTTAGTTCACAACATCATAGTAAAAACAGACATATGTAAATTATCAACGTCGACCGAATTATCACTTGGTTATCGATTTTCAATGGTGTAAGATGGCATTGAAAACAAAGTTATTTTAATTACAAACATCATTTATTAGAAGTTAGTTTTCGTTTGTCATTTATGATTGTTTTGCATTCACCAGTGTACCTCTAAGCATACTCATTCGTGTTTACATAATACTGTGTTCTGTACAAATTAATTTCAGTGGTTAGGTGAAAACACTTTTTTCTAACCTTCTCAATAATTGTTTCGTGTATAGTTAATTCTAGCCTACTTCTTTAATTCACTGACTGGTAGGCTAATTATGCAATATATATGTGTGCAGTAGGTAAACCACACTCACGTATTTCAGTAGAATACTTAATCAATTTTTAACACAGAATCACCTTGACCAAAAATGACATCAGACTGACATGTTCAGACGTTTTACGATTTTGATTGTACTAAAAATAGTCTACCTTCTTTCCTTTTTATTATATTTACAATTCTGTCCATTTCTTAAGTCGTAAAATGTCTGATATGCAAATTTCTATTCATTGAAATATAATTCTAAGAATCCTAGTTATCTTAGCTGTCAAAAAATTCCCATCATATTACAACATCAATATAATTTTCATTTCATTATTACCATTATTTAAACAAACCTAGAAGGACAATAATATATGCAGAATGAATTCAATTTTAAGATTGCATTCATTCGTATTATCCATCTAGTTTTTCCTAAGCGCTTATTTTTGTAATATTTCATAGAAGTGTTGTCGATTAAGCTTGCACTCCTATACACGGTTTCGTAGTCATAAGCTTATGGATTAGTGCTGTAAGACGCATGACTGCTTTGAGATAGAGAATGGAGAATTCTACCATCATCCTATGACTAGCATCGTATATTCTCTCTAAATAACGATAATAATTGGTCACTGAGTAGTGGCCTATGTCATGCATTTCAGGTGCTTCTTAGTGATGATTAAATTCTATTGACCAAGGTGCATTATTACTACAAGTATAAATGAGTCAACTTTGTGTACACCACTTGAGTTGTAAGGTAGTATTGACCAGTACCTCACTAGTTTCGTGGTGGTCGGTATTCGATATGTCCTTAGACTTTTCGTATGCTGATGCTCGTCCAGACAGCCGTTACTAGATAACGTCTCACGGTTTATAGATCAATAAAGAGGAATACGAAGTGTTGAATACGTTTATTTGGTGCACAACAAATAAACCACTATACTACAAGCACAGGAAGCAAGAATAATATGCGAGTGCCGAAGAGCAAGCAAGCAAATGAGCGAATGAATGAACAGGATTAAAATGTACACATCTACAAACATAGAAAACCCTGTCTTCCTTTCGTGTTGAAATCACCGAAAAGTTTATAATCTACTGCTAAACGGTCGATCACCAGCTATCAATCAATACACTTCATACTTAGGTTCCCACTCTAAAGTGTGATTTTCATTATTCTTAATGACTCATTAGTTATGTCTAGGAAATAAACTGCTTCCTGTTAACAGGTCAACATAGCGAGACAAATTATGACTCGATTCAGTGAACGAATCAAGAATGTTGGATGTGGATTTATTTATCAATAAACTATTGATTAAGATATCATCCAAAATAATGCTGAAATAGTTCAAACTTTCGGTCAATTAATAAATTTGAATGCATGAAAATAACAGTTAATCAATAAATCAATGTATGTTGCGAACTTCACTACTACAATCTTTATCCGAACACATGAATGAATAATAGTATTTGTGCATACATGTTTTGAAACTAACTTTTAACCATTAGTCCAGTAGACCGATATGTACTCTGTAGTAGTTCAGTGTTATTGGTTTGTGTTATTGACCGTCGATCATCAGTAAATAGTTTCACAAGTAATCCTTTCCCATATTTGTGTTTGTGTGTATGAATATGAATGTGTATGAATAGTTATTAATTTCTCTATTATCAAGACTATCTTGACTCACTGAAATAGAATTTCTCAATTAAATAATCACAAAAGTTTTTACCGTTCATTTCAATGTTACACATACATTTAAATCACTTGGTGTTTTAAACACCATGGCCTTCAATCGACCGTATATCTCGCCAACTGCAACAACCCAAGAAACTAGTTAATTTCATTAACCTTCACACAAGATGTGTACATCAAGGCGTATTACACAGATTTAAACGCATCGAACTATTGAATTTATTGTATGACCTTTAAAAAGCTCGTTTTTATGAATAAGTATATTTGATATCGTTAATCGATCACTGTTAGACCACCCGCATTAACTTGTAAGCATTGGTTAGCCATTTCGTTCTTGTGTGGTACTCATCAGCATAATGTACATAATTACTATTCCTTCTTTTCTTAGCCGTCTCTAATTCTCGGTGCAGTGTGTCCTCTGTCTTTTGCATTTAGGATTCCAAGTTAGTTCTTATTTCTTTACGCAGTTGGGTGCTTACCTTAGTATGTTTCCTGTCCATCTGCATCCGTTTTTTCCTAGTTTCGTATGCACAACCATCGACTGCCTCGACGGGAAATTTTTTGTGGTGTAGGAGTAGGTTGCAAGAAACCTAAGGGTAGCTAAACCAAAACATAGCACAAATGCATGAAGTCACTGACTACTTGACTGAGCCATGCTAGTAGATGTACAGTACCTGGTTGGGGTCCGCGAAACGATAGTAACCGATGATTAGAGACCTTGAAAGTTATGGCTCAACATCGTTTGCTGTGTTGCATACTCATGCATTCTTTGTCTTTTCTCTTATTCTAATCCTCTTAATTTCTCATGACCTTTTTTATGTTTAAATTTATCTCACTGGATTATGCTTGTTGAGTTATATTTTCTATCTCTAATCTTTTCGATTACCGGCAATACTGTGACAACATCTACCTCCATAGGATTTGAAGTGACTTTTCATTCTCTGTGCTAAGATGGTATGGCAAATCGAAATGATGTACGTACGAAATTCTCCGTTGTTACTGACTGACTGACAATAACTTGGTTATAATTATTATTTTATGTTGCTGTAAAGATTATTGAATCTGAATTCGATGGTCGCGCAATATTGTGAATTAACTGAAATGTAAATCGATCAATGTCAAATCAGAGGTGTATTTCGAATATGGAGCCCCACTAAAGTCAGACTGTCATGAAATCTAAAGTTGATTGTCGTCACCTCCTAACGTAATACCAACCAATAACGGGTTTGAGATAAATTTTAAGAAATTTTTGTGAAAATTCAATGATATTCTGTTATTTATGTTTTATTTATAACAAATGATAACTTTTAAGTCTATTAAACGCGTTACAACTGTATTGTGACATTTTAGAGAGGTCAAGGTCATGTAATAAGTTAAAAATGTACTATTTGTTAACAGACAGTTCAGCTTTGATTAGTAATTTGAAAACAACTCATTTGTTTTGGTTGTTTTAATCTTCCCATTTATGTTTGGGACTGTAATTGATCGGTCTATTTGGCATTTGTGTATCCTGGATTTCAATACTATCCACTATCCACCTCTGCAAACTACAAAATATTTTCGTAAGGTTAGAAGTGTGAATCGACTGCATGAATAACGCAATTGAAGCTTATTGAATTGCTACCACAGCATAGTTCATGATGACGATGTTAACGAGTTCATTTTGAGGCCGTCTTTATTCAGGAAAATAAACTTTACCCATGCGTCCACACCTTCATTTAAGAAAAGTCAATCATGTTCAAACTAAAAGCAATAATAACCAGCTTATTCTTCGTTAATGGCATTTTACATGACTGACTAACAAGCTAACTACCTCCTCCTTTTAGTTTAAGTATTATTCTATTGCTTTTCCTTAAAAAGCTTATTCAAATTAAACGTGGCAGCAAATTAGTGTTGATTTTGATGTTTTAGTGATTAGTTTGTGGAGGCTATTCGTCACACGTTGACCAGATGTTGAATGCCATTTAAAACTGAATAACCATTGGAATAACATTTTGCTGCATTATTAGACTGTTGTATGTGCCTATAACTTTACCATGTAGTCAAATTCACCTTCTATTCTGACGAAAAGCCTCTGAGCTCTTAATTTAACTTTCAGTCATATGCATTTCCCGTTATAGTGCTATCGTTCAGTGATTCTAATACGTGTTATAATTTATTGTTTTTCGCTTTATATTTAATATTTTAATCCATAATACTCATTCAAAATGTCACGATCATTATTTGGCTTGTTAAATATTTCAAGTCCCATAATAATAAATAGCTTCTTTAAGGTTGGTAATTTTGTTAAAACATTGCCTATATAACGATTATTTTCATGACGATCAAATGACATTGCTATTCTATGAGCTAAATATATACGTCTGAGTGTTTTAAAATTTTTAGTGTTAATAATTTTGAGGGCGGTTCTCAAAAACAACTTAATTAAAAGTATGTTTAAGTTGGAAGTTAAAATTTAGGTTGTGAAATATAAATGTTGATCGAATGTTCTGCATGCTAAAATCGATTCTCGTTAATCTGTTACTCCTTTTATTCCTTGTAAAGCATAAGCTGCCGACTAACCTTCTCCAGCCTACTATATCCTAGGCCTTTCTTTCCAATTCTACCTAATCGCTGTTCATTCTTCTCATATCTCTTTCCTACTCTCGGCATAATGTGTTCTTTGGTCATCCTCTTTAGCACTGAGGATACCACCAGGTTTTTTTGCATTTCTGCAGCAACTTGAATGACTCCTGGTCTTCCACAACGTATGAATATTCAAAGTACCTATAATTAATGGTTGCTCTGGTTGTTGGAATAGGCATCAATCTCGAAGAAACCCAGCTTTCATCATGAAGCGTAATAGCTGTCCTAAACGAAGGCCTTCCAACTCCCAGAACAGAATTTAAATTGTCGGAATTATTTTTTCTGGTTAGCGTTTTTTAGCGAGTTGGATCTGATTTTTATTAAGAGAATAGTAACAAAAAGAAATCTAAGCATTTCAGACATTGTGCAGCAACAAACTATATTAAGAAGATAAGCAACACCTACAAGAAAATGAAATCTCTAACAAGTTAGTTTTATTCACCTCAACGAAATTTTAAAACTAGTTAACTAGTTAACTAGTTAAAGCTTCTGCAATCTCAAGATCCTAAATAAAAATCTATCGGCATATTTAGTTACTTTTCCTTGTACAGTTTATCCATTAAACCTCACTGATTATCCTATTTATTAAATAGACTGATTCCAGAATAGTTGATTCGCCATGTGGATAGTTTAATGCACTAATTTCACAAAAGGATAACTACATATGTATATTTAGTCTTTTCCTTTGTTATCAAAACATGACTATAAAAGAATGTCATCTATTTTACATAGGTTGAATATATCGTTACAAATAAACTATACCATCCTTATCAATATAGACCACCAGGGCATCAGGTACCTGTGTGGTTGCACCACAGGATTGAGCTGAACTGTTCATGTAGTAATGGTAAAACGTGTGCAGTCTCTTTGGTTCTCCTGAAAACTAATATAAAATTGTTCTTGACAATGCAGGGTTAATTTATATAAATTGAAAAAAAAATCCTTATCAATAGTACATTTTTTCAGTACTAGAATAATGTTTAATTATGTCGTTATCTTATTCGAAATCCTTAAATTGCTTGTTGCATAATACATCTAGGAAAATTTCAACTTATTACTTAGAGAGAAGTTTAAAATCTTATCTTCGAATTAGTTCTGTGCTTAGTTTTTTTTTTTATTGAATGTGAGTTGTCTCATGTCTGAGCGTGATACGAGCTAACCCCGCTAACGGACTACTTGGACAAGAAGGTAATAGCACAAATGAATGTCTATTTTGGCTACCGAATCACATGCAAAAATATTCTGTTATCTATCTTCATTCCGTCCCATTAGTAAATGAAACCGTTTCTTGACTGAAGATATGCGTTCATTCTCAGTGATGGTCATCAAATAGCTTTCTGATTCGGCCACTTCTGACTGGTCCCCTATATCTGATTTATTCCTTCTTCAAGCTGAATAGTTCGATGGTCTAACTATACCCACAATGACATGAATAGCTTTGACAGATGTATCAATTTTGATATTCTCACAAATACATGCATTCTTCTTCAGACTCATAGTTCAATACACATCTTTACTACTGGATATCTATTAAAATGATATGAATGAATAGAATCATTTTATTAATTACTATGCATAATCAAACTGATTAATTTATTTTTATTTAATTTCTTGCTATCAGAAGTGAAAACCGAAAACGCAAACGAACTTATCAGCAATCAAATGAACAGACGGTTGTAATCGATCTTACGAATTCTGATGATTCGTGTAATAATAGTTTGACAGATCAAACAATATCAACAACTACGCCTGAATCAATGGAAAATTTGCCAATATTCAATGTTTTGTCGTGGAATATTCAAGGTTTAGAGTCGGCAAATTTAAACAAACGAGTGATATCTGTAGTGGAGACTATAAAAAAGTACATAATTTCTACTATTTTCATATTTATTAATCGTTTCTCTCATTAATTTGACATGCTTTAAGTAACTAAAGGGAATTCATCATCACTTCAACACTGATATCAGATTCCTTGGACTTGATAATTAGCTGAATTACGACATAATTTTCGACGGTACATGGTTTAGATAAAGATCACTTGTCGAACGATAAACCTAACAATCCCAATGTAAGACATGAGCTTCAAACATGTGCTCATATTTTTATTGATTGCTTCCAATTAGCTCCAGATAGGGTTGTGTGACTTTTTACTCCTTTTCTTCAAATACAGTGATAAGTGCGCCATGCTTTCTAGACTGATGATTTAAAAACAGTTAAATGGATGCTTAACTGCAGTTTTATCTAAGCCCAGGTTAAAAGCATATCGTACCGGTTTATGAATCCTAATTTTACTAGGTACTTATTGTAGGTGGTTAACACTACACGAAAAAATAGTCTTTCGTTCATGTTATGTAAAAAAGATTTGCTTTGAATAGTTTTGAAATGGTAATGGCGTAAATATACAGTACTCAGTTGGTTGATCTTAGAGCTTCAGCGCACTTGCAATATTTGATCTGACTTGTTCTAAAAATCCAAACAGTCTCACCTAAGGCACTCCATTTTTGTACTGGCTCTGTCTGCGATATATATATATATATAGGGATTATTTTTATGTGAATAAAATAAAGTAGTCCTCAAGGCCTCATTAAATTGAATGAATTTTCCACCAATGTGCAAATTAGTTTACTAATAAAAGTATTTAGTTGTATATATTTCAATCAGTCAATCAATAGCAACTTAGAACTTCGTACGTAAGTACATCAGTTCATGTTACCATACCACATTAGCACAGAGATGTAATTGTCAATTCAAACCCAATAGTAGTAGAGGTAGCAAAGGTTTTAGACGTAGTTGGAGAGGTCAGGATCAGAATATATTATTCAAGAAGTACAATCTAGTGAAATAAACTTGAAAAGAAGGTTAGGATTTGAGAGGACACAAAGAATGAATGCACCTGCGCCATTGCAAACGGTTTTGAGCCATGTCATTCAGGGCCTCTAACCATCGATTACTATAATCTCGCGGACCCCAACCAGGAAGTCGACAACTACCGACATGACTCAATCCACTTGTCAATGACTTCATGGGTTGGTGCCATGTTTTGGTCTGGTCGCCCCTAACTTTCTTCTAACCTACTCCTACACTACAAAACAAAGCTCGACGAGGCAGTCGGTGGTTAGGCATACGCAACACGTGTGCCAACCACCTCAACTGATGAAGTTTCATCACTTCATCTATTGATCTGGCATTCTTACCTAGTACCCGTTTCCTAATAACAGCGTTGCTCACTCGGGTGTCCCACGATATACGAGCAATGCTTCGAAGACACCTATGATCGAAAACCAATAACCGACGAGTATCTACTACTCTCACTGGCCATGCTTCACAGCCATAAAGTAAGACGGAGCGAACCACTGCTCAGTACACTCGTCCTTTAGTCAGCAAACGGATATCTCGGCTTCGCCATAAATGACGCAGGTTGGCAAAAGCCAATCGAGCCTTCTGTATCCGAGCTGCGATTTCGTCAGTCACCAGACCATCAGCACCGATGAGACTCCCCACGTAAGTGAAGCGGTCTACACGTTCGACCACTTCACTCCCTATCACTAGTTCAGGTGCCGATGAAACCCAATCTTGAAGCAACATTTCGCATTTCGAGGGGGAAAACCGCATCCCGAACATGCTTGCATTGTCGCTTAGGGTAGTCAGAATACTGCATTTCGTCAGCGTCTTCACCAAGTAGGACTATGTCATCAGCATATTCTAAGTCAATAAGCGAGCCACCTGGTAAAAGGTCTACTCCTGAAAATTCAGACGAGGATAAGGTTATTTCTAGGAGCATGTCTATGATAAAATTGAACAAGAATGGAGAGAGTGGACATCCCTGACGGACACCACTTGATGTAGATAATTCCGGTGACAGTTCGCCATAAGCCTTCACTCGACCAGTGGTGTTCGAGTAAAGGGCTTGTATAAGGTTAATGTACTTCTTTGGTACACCTTTCAATGACAGACACTGCCACAGAACCTCACGATCCACTGAGTCGAATGCCGCTTTTAGGTCGAGGAACACGACTATTGTCGGACGTCTAAATGTGTGTCTGTGTTCCAGGACCTGTCGTAGTGTGAAAATGTGGTCTATACAACCACGTCCAGGTCGAAAACGAGACTGGTTTTCTCTAGTCTGCTCTTCACGAGCTCTAGTTAGACGTCTAAGTATAATCGAGGCTAACAATTTAGAAACTATATTAGTTAAACTTATTCCCCTGTGATTGTCACAAGAGGACTTCTGTCCTTTCTTGTAGATTGGGACAATTAGCGACTGAGACCAGCCAGATGGGATTACGTCCAGTTCTCAGATTCTACCTAAGATCTCGGTCAACCTAGTTGCTAAATCTGGACCACCATCCTTAAATATCTCAGGGGTCAGTCTATCAGGACCTGCAGCTCGTCCTCGCTTCAGATTTCCTAACGCTTTTTTAACTTCATTAAGACTAGGGGGACTTATGTCGATTTGCCATTCAGGATGACTGGAGATCGTGGGTAACTGAAGAGTGGCTCGAGGCCAGTTGAACTGATCCCTAAAGTGTTCTGCCCATCGATCCAGTCTCCTGGATTGAGAATAAATAATAGTCCCATCCTTTTCCGAGATAGTCTCACACTAGGATTCCTAATACCAGTTTGCTTGATAAGTCGGAAAAGTTGTCTACTGTTGCCGATCGCCGCTTAAATGGTCGCCTAACTGTCTTTCTAGTTGTTCCTGAAATATATTTTTCGCCTTATTATCATTAAGTAAAACCCTTAGAGGCTTTCTTACGGTGTCTTTCCTACGCCCAGTAAGCCTCAAACAAATACGCGCTCGCACTAGGGCATGATCTGAATCCAGACATGTGCTCCAGAACGAGCGACAGTCTTCTATCGAACCCCTCCATCGGTGGCTGATGGCAATGTGATCTAGTTGAGTCCAACGTTGAGACGACTTTGGAGGTCGCCAGGTCAACAGATGCTTTTCCTTATGCCTAAAGTTAGTGTTTGCTAAGAATAGGCGGTTGTCTGAGCAAGCGTGCAACAGACGGTCACCATTGTCTGTTCTCTGAGCCGCGAGACCGTAACATACACCTAGGTGTCCCTCCTGCTCACTTAGTCTACCTACTTGAGCATTAAAGTCACCAGCCATTATTACTATATCAGAGCGCCTAGCTTTTTGGAGGAGGTCCGAAAGCTTTCTGTGGAACTCATCTTTCACCTCGTCCGAACTGCATTCAGTGGGGGCATAGGCAGATACGATGAAGAGGCAACGGCGATTGTCCCTATCTTTCCGAGTCCTTACTGTCCCATTTAGTCGGACAGCGCACAATCGACTATCTATTGGGATCCAGTCAAGGAGAGATTGTTCTGCCCTACGACTCAATGCTATGCCTACGCAAGCAAGACCCCGGGAAGCAGCATCAGGGCTACCGGATACACGAAGAGTAAATCGAGCTGCTTCTTTATTTTGACACGGTGTGGCCAAGTGTATGGCGTGACTCGGATCCTGTATGCGCGTTTCCGAGACGCAGCATACATCGATGGCACGAGATTCTAAGGTCTTAGCTAAGGAAGCCTGTTGCCCTATTTGACACAATGTCCGTACATTAAATGCTCCAACATGTAGTCTAGAGCGAGGTTTAAGGAGACCAGGAACGACGTTTCGCGAACTCGTTTCGTCTGCATTAGCTGTGCACTGTGATGAATGAATGTGAGAAGAGTTATTCGTGGAGATAAGAGAGGTACTAGGGGGTGTAGGAAGGATTTGATTTTGACCAATTTGGTCTCGCGTGCTGTTATGGGTATGAAAGCGGTTGTCACTTCCCGGCTGCCCACACCGTGGAAGGTTGTTTCTTGAGGAACCCGAAAAGGAAGATAGATTAGTAGATGCGCACTGCTGAGGAGTCCCATACTAGGACGAAACGGCCGTCCAGTGCTTCCAGGTTTCTAATGGTGGTCTAACAATGATGATTGATTAATGATTTCAAATGTGTAGATAGATTAGTGTTGGTGCGTGACCGCAGAGTCCAAGGGACAACTGCTTGAGGCCGGTCACGCACGGCCTTTTTATGAAACGTTGTTTGAGGATTAGCTCCGTTCTTAAAGGCCCTTAGTGGGCACCCTTACCCAAGGAGACGGAAATCCGTGAGGTAGGGGCGGTGTGACACTTTTAGGGTCGACCTTTTCTAACCCTTCCTTCCTTGTGAGAAGGCAGCATCGCTGCAGATGCTGGTTGTCCGAGGGAAACACCTTACTGCTGTCACACCCCTCTGCAGTCAGCAGTACGACTTCGCCCTCAGACCTTGAGTAGCTGCTTTCAGTCTCATCGTTCTCCAATCGACTTGTCTGGCATGGTAGGACCTTCAGGAACATATGTTCCAGCCAGTATAACTCGGTTGGGTCATCACGATAGGCAAGCCCGACCACCACGTCAAGGTAGCAGCTACGGTCGGGTAGTGACTTTATGGATTTCTGCCGTTCCTAAGATGTGCAGCTGTATGTAAGAGAGCCTTTTATAGGTTCTTGAGGAAATAATCAGCCGTGTTATATCCGTTTTGAAGTCGCTAGAGGTGTGCTTTTCGAACTTGTTTGTTCTTATTATTCATACTTTACTGAATAAAGTATTTTAATGGTGATTTATCGAATGATTATATGTTTGTACTTTTAGTAAACACTTAGTAATAATAAATCCAGAACAAGTGAACGTTCTACTAACGTGTTAATCAATTTAAAAGTGATAGGTTTTTAATTTCTCACAGTCTTTCAGCCCATTTGACATTTTCACTTTTGTATCTTTGTTTCATTGTCCCACAAATTTATTCATGATGTTACAACTTCTCATATGATGGTTATTTCCCCTTATTGAGTAGATCGTTTTATGCTCTGCGTTTTCGTACAGGGTATATATCATTTCGCTCCAATTCCTTTCTATTAAATTCCTTAGGATCGAATCTTTGAATTCAGTTATCTAGTAGAGCGAAAATCGCGTCCAAAGAGATAATATTATTCCTAATATATGGTTATTAAACTAATCGATTAAATGTAACGTTGCTGCGTCAACTCTATATATAACTAACTCCTGAGTAACTATTATTTTATCTCTCATTTCTATTGGCTATAATTTCTCTGGATAATGTAATTATAGAAATCGTTCGATCATACTTAACTGGCAATTTTTTATCTTCATTAGCTTCATATTAAGTACTTGTTACAACAGTTTCATCGCCTGGAATGTAAGTTTGTACATTAAACTAAGTTATAATTACCTAAAAAAAAAACTGTGATTACAAAGTGACCAACTTTCGAAACAAATAATTGTTACGATCCAGCTACACTCTCTTCGCATTGTTCTGATTTCGATCTCCACTCTGTTAAGATTCCAATTGCATATATTACGAAGGAATGAATATATGACAAACTTTTGATATCTCTTGGCTTTACTTGACTCTTCAATTATTTCCAGTCTCTGTAAATTGGATTTGTATAGTCGATGTTCACTAGCTTGTTAAATAAATAACTTTGAATAATATTTTTTAAAAATGTATAATTTTATCTGTATATCTTCACAGTTCTATGCATGTTTTTTTATAAAAACTTACATTTGTATTTGCTTATATTTTTAGAGAAGAATTCCATGTTGTATGCTTGCAAGAAGTTATACTTGTTTGCTTAGAAATTCTCCGTGAAATGCTAGGATCGACGTATCACATTTTTTCCGCATCTGATCACAATTCTCAGTGGCAGTATTTTGTTGTCATTTTGGTTAAAAAGCATCCAAATATAAAAGTTAACTCGGATTCAATTAGTGTAAGCGATAGGTTTTCTGGGTTTTTTTTTTTATTTCCCCTGAGCATTTACGATTCGACAGTTGACTTAGTTATGGTCGTTACAAAATTGTTATGAAACGCTGCGAAACTTTCATTGATATTGTTCTTGTAATATTCGAAAGTAGTTTTCTATATTGGAAAGCAATCTTTTTCTACTAAGCTTGTATTTCAAACTGGAAACCAAAGAAAAATTCACGAAAAGTAACTAGTTTTAATTGTGATCGATGTAAATAAATATGTACTTTCGGACTTTCTGGTTACAAAGACAAGCATTTATTAGTGTTTCAAGTAATAAGTAAGTGATTAATTTCCAGCCAGAAATTTTAGGTCTCACGGATAGAGTGAGAAGTATTAACTCGTTTTTCAAACATTACTTACTTAATTATATATGAAAATCTATTAGGAGTTGCTTCGAGGCAAATGTCCTGAATTTCTGTATGAGATTTTTGTTGAATTGGTTGCAGTTGGGTACTTCATCGGTTTTAGAAGTCAAATGGCTTATCAACTTACTTCAGTATAAAACGATAAAACGCTAACTGAAGTAATCGATTCATTCGCACATGAAATTCAAGATAAGAATTTCGGAAAACAAATGGCAAGTAAAAAATTAGCAAATTATTATTAGCATTATTATTAGATTGCAGAGGCTTGGAACTTCTTACACAAACTAGACTGCTCTTGTTACGATTCCTGAAGAAACTCTAAAATATATACATATACTTATTCATAAAAACGAGCTTTTTAAAGGTCATATAATAAATTCAATAGTTCGATGCGTTTAAATTTGTGTAATACGCCTTGATGTACACATCTTGTGTGAAGGTTAATGAAATTAACTAGTTTCTTGGGCTGTTGCAGTTGGCGAGATATACGGTCGATTGAAGGCCATGTGCTTTAAACACCAAGTCATTTAAATGTATGTGTAACATTGAAATGAACGGTTAAAACTTTTGTGATTATTTAATTGAGAAATTCTATTTCAGTGAGTCAAGATAGTCTTGATAATAGAGAAATTAATAACTATTCATACACATTCATATTCATACACACAAACACAAATATGGGAAAGGATTACTTGTGAAACTATTTACTGATGATCGACGGTCAATAACACAAACCAATAACATTGAACTACTACAAAGTACACATCTGTCTACTGGACTAATGGTTAAAAGGTAGTTTCAAAACATGTATGCACAAATACTATTATTCATTCATGTGTTCGGATAAAGATTGTAGTAGTGAAGTTCGCAACATACATTGATTTATTGATTAACTGTTATTTTCATGCATTCAAATTTATTAATTGACCGAAAGTTTGAACTATTTCAGCATTATTTTGGATGATATCTTAATCAATAGTTTATTGATAAATAAATCCACATCCAACATTCTTGATTCGTTCACTGAATCGAGTCATAATTTGTCTCGCTATGTTGACCTGTTAACAGGAAGCAGTTTATTTCCTAGACATAACTAATGAGTCATTAAGAATAATGAAAATCACACTTTAGAGTGGGAACCTAAGTATGAAGTGTATTGATTGATAGCTGGTGATCGACCGTTTAGCAGTAGATTATAAACTTTTCGGTGATTTCAACACGAAAGGAAGACAGGGTTTTCTATGTTTGTAGATGTGTACATTTTAATCCTGTTCATTCATTCGCTCATTTGCTTGCTTGCTCTTCGGCACTCGCATATTATTCTTGCTTCCTGTGCTTGTAGTATAGTGGTTTATTTGTTGTGCACCAAATAAACGTATTCAACACTTCGTATTCCTCTTTTTTGATCTATAAACCGTGAGACGTTATCTAGTAACGGCTGTCTGGACGAGCATCAGCATACGAAGTCTGAGGACATATCGAATACCGACCACCACGAAACTAGTGAGGTACTGGTCAATACTACCTTACAACTCAACGTGGTGCACACAAAGTTGACTCATTTATACTTGTAGTAATAATGCACCTTGGTCAATAGAATTTAATCATCACTAAGAAGCACCTGAAATGCATGACATAGGCCACTACTCAGTGACCAATTATTATCGTTATTTAGAGAGAATATACGATGCTAGTCATAGGATGATGGTAGAATTCTCCATTCTCTATCTCAAAGCAGTCATGCGTCTTACAGCACTAATCCATAAGCTTATGAGTACAAAACCGTGTATAGGAGTGCAAGCTTAATCGACAACACTTCTATGAAATATTACAAAAATAATACGAATGAATGCAATCTTAAAATTGAATTCATTCTGCTTATATTAATTGTCCTTCTAGTTTTGTTTAAATAATAATAATAATGAAATGAAAATTATATTAATGTTGTAATATGATGGGAATTTTTTGACAGCTAAGATAACTAAGATTCTTAGAATTATATTCCAATGAATAGGGAATAATTTTTTGCGAAAATAGTTTTTTTTAATGATATATACACGTTTACCGAAAAGCGAATATTTGCAGGATTAGCTTCGTAAGGATTGTTCGGTTGTCTATTTTGTTAGCCTTTGTCTTTTAATGTGCAGATTGAAATAGGTATTTGTGAAGTAGTTATTATTTTAACTGATAATCGATGTACGAAATTTATCTCAAACAAAAACATTCAAACGACATACATATAGGTTGTGATGTAGGTGGCTTCTACAGCTTTTCGCTGAATTTTTGGTGAAATGTGTCACCTTTTCAAGGTTGACTCAACTGGTTTGTTTTTTCAGTTAATGTCAACCGGCCACGTATCATGACATGAATTGTATTTTCTGGTTAGCGCTTTATTAGGGAGTCATTACTCTGCCGGTTAAAGTCGTCAAACCCACGCTCAATCCTCTCCTTTTCCTGGGCTTGCGACCGGCAGTCGCTCGAGTGAGGCTCCAGGCCATCTGTAATATATAAATGTTTTATATATCAAAAGTGAATGTTTTTATGTGGAACGAATTCATTGTCCACTGATTCTTAAGTTTTATTTATCTTTTGGTAACGTCAGTTGATGATTGATGCTGTTAAGTTTGTTTATTGACATAATTATCTTTAGAAAATTGCTGTCCATCATATTATGATTTCACCGTGACACTATCTGAGTCTAAATATATACATGAGTGTACTTCCAACTTTCATGGTTTACTTAAAAGCACAAACAATTACTTTATATATGCGTGGTAATATTAATAAAAGCAAAATGAAAGTTTCAGTTTGTTGTACTAAATAGTTGTAAAGATAACACCTACGTTTATGTACGTAAATTTGAGATTTTCAATACTCATGTTTTGTGTACATTGATTTGTTGATTATTATCTTACGACAACAAAAATTACATGTACTAAACAAAAGATTACGGAATACACTTCTCTCTGTTTTTCTATACTTTCCTATTATTATTAATTCAAATATCATTTGTTTTACAATCATTTACAAATTGAATCACAATTTCAATGAAGTCAGATAATTTTTAATTAGTAGGATTGAATTTGAGTTATATTCAAAGGTTAAAATCTGATTTTCACCAAGATCTATTGAACTTGAGAATTGCTTCTTATTACTTGAAAATCGCAAACACTACAAACGCACTAACCTGATAATTCTAATTTTTTTTATATCATTAATAATGTGTTTCATTAAAAAAAGTTTTGCACATTTCATTTCTTTTCTTTCCAATTCTGAATAGATCCAACCATTTCCAAATTCTATCATGGATCGTCATCTGCTATCTGTTGATCTGAATTTATCACAGTTTCTACCTCAGTCCAGCCTAGAATTAAATTTACGAATATTTACTGCACACTTAGAAAGTTGTGCAGAATACTCTGATGAACGAGTGGCCCAGTTAAGAAGCGTTTGGGACACAATGTCAAATTATGTCAAGTGTGAAGATGCTAAAGCTGGCTTAAAAAGAGATCGTGCAAGTATATTTTGCGGTGATCTTAATCTAAGGGATTCAGAGGTAGATTTTACCGCTATTCTTTTTTATAAATTAAGTTATTAGTAATAATGATAAGGATTGTTCAATTCCGTGACTATTCTATATCTTGAAACTATATACATTATATACTAGGAACTACTCTGTGGAGAACTGCTACCGAGAACATTTTCAAATTAATATACGCGGAAGAAATTATTTTGTTTTTGAGTATATTTCAGACTACATGAAACAGTTAAACCAGTTTTTGATCACCATCCTTAACATAAATACTTTGTAATGTCGAAGTTTTCAGTAGTTGTAACTCTGTTGGTCCCAGTTTTGGGCCACAAAATTAGTTTAAAAACATAGTAGTTAGTCATATAGACAAGCCAACACTGTAAATAATTTTCACTATAATATCTATCTTTTTAATTCATACTAATGTACAATACGCGTTTCTGAGATAATCAGACGTTAAAACCGATTGCAAAATAAGTATATCCTTTCTGGCTTTGTTATAGACCAGCAGAACTGTTATATAAAGATAATAAAGTAGAATATGGGGCTAATGTAGCATATTAGGCGCCACAATGGTGCCACAATCCGCTAATGTACTCAAGTAATCAAGTCTAGGAGTTTCACATGAAATTCGAATAGTTCAAATTTAAGTGGATGAGGAATCCTCATCCATTAATGACCATTTGCAACGAGATCAATGAAGCTGGAACAGCGTTTATAATGCATAAACAACAAATAATACTTAATACATCACTGTGGATCATTTTAATAAAAAAATATAAAGATTTAGACTTTCCATACTTAAATCGTGGAGATAGATTCTCAACTAAATGAATAGTTGTTAATGACAGCTATGTGTTAGTTAATTCGTCTTCACATCTTAAATCAATGATCTCAATAAAGCTACACAAGTCACTAATACTTACAAGCTTCGCCTATTTTTGGTTTGTACACTTAATCGATGAGTTAAACTCTTGCCCATATACTCTAAGTTAAAAAATTTTTATTTGTCACTAATATAGCCAAAAACATTTTTGAGGTCAACATTAATTATAGCCTAAATAAAATAATAATTACTTATCTTGCTTACGTTTATAGATGGGATATCTTATCGTTTTCTCGGTTTACATATTTTCACTAAATTTAGAAACAGTTTTAACCGAAGTAATAAAACTAAAGTCTAATTTTCTTTTGGTGCAATTTCTTAGGGCTTAAATTTCCTGTTTGAGATTTGATGATTGTAGCTATTAATATTGATCAGGAAAATGTTGCTCATTCTTTTTCCCAATTGAAACCGACCAGATTTATTTTTTAGCTTGTGTTTTTTTAATAAGCCATATTACTTGCTAATGGAATGTACTTGATAGTATGTTAACTAGTTTTTCAACTTTATTTTTCATGGAGGATGACTCATTGCGTCAAGGGACATTTCATCCCTGATGAATATTACTTCACAGTTATAGGTTTATAATTACATATCCCTTATTCGGTTTTCAACATAAATAATTAATTTTTGATAATCGAGACTGCGTAACACGTGGCCCCTGAGTTAGGATCGTTTCTGTAGATATTTCTGGACAGTGACGAAACATAATTACATGTTTTGGGGCACAGTTTTGGAGGTTTGCGTTTTTACACATTTGAAATCATCAGTCAATCATTGTTAGACCACCATTAGAAACCTGGAAGCACTGGACGGCCGTTTCGTCTTGGTATGGGACTCATCAGCAGTGCGCATCCACGACTCCTGCTCCTCGCAGGATCCGAACCCGGCAGGAGCATGAGTCGTGGATGTGCACTGCTGATGAGTCCCATACCAAGACGAAACGGCCGTCCAGTGCTTCCAGGTTTCTAATGGTGGTCTAACAATGATTGATTGATGATTTCAAATGTGTAAAAATAATTACTTGTGTCTGTCATATTAAAGTTTTATTTTGTTTAAATACTTATCCTTTATCTAAAAAGTGTTTTAATTCTTCATGATTATTTGTCTTACGTTGGTAGGTCAATGTGTTAGGTGGCTTACCTTATGGGGTACATGATGTATGGAATGAATGTGGACGTCGTACTGAGATTAGAAATACCTGGGATCCTATGCATAATCCAAATGCTCGACTTCAATTTAGAGGTACTCCTCGTGCTCATATGACTTTTAGATATGATCGCATGTATGTGTTAGGTTCCAGATTGAAACCCGTTGATTTTGGCCTTCGCGGAATCGAAAAGGTTAAAAATCTTTCATGTTTACCTTCTGATCACTGGGCTATACTTGGTCGATTTTTATTGAATGCTTTGTAATTTTCACTACTGTAACTCTTATGGGCCACTTTGTTTTGCATTATAAAAATTTACACAGCTTTCTTTCGTGAAGTTTCTTCACAATAATGTATAGAAACAGATTTTCGAAATTACATTTTCACATTACCCCTATTTTTTTTCATGCCACTACTACACATATATCAGATAGCGGTCCCATCTATATCAAGTACAATAAAGAATATTTTTAAGTTACTTTCTTATCTAACTCTTGAGTCTTAATTTGATAAGTAATCTGAAATTAAAGTTTTAGTAATAGCGATACAACCGTGAATTCCGCTTTAAGTCTATTTTTAGACCAAGTTTAAATCTCTTCATCTTGGACGTCATACTTCAAAATTTCAGTTTTTATTCTGATTCAGTCCCAAATGACTATATACAACTCGCGGATTCTTTTAGCTACAAGTCTTGCAAAACTATTTCAGTGTTTGTTTTCATACATTTTGAATGCGATAATAACGTTCGTGTAGTGATTTAGGCGCTAATGCACATACACTAACTTTGCAATAATTATGAGTGATTTAATATAACTGGGATTTGTAGATGTTCGGAGTATTTTTCGATTTCTTGAGAATGTGTGTGAATTTGTAGTATTGTTTGTCAAATGTTGGTCTACAAACAAACTTATTGTTGGGGAAATGTAGTCTGACAATTTTTATCATTTACCTCTGAAAACATAATAAAGAGATTTCTTTCCCTAGAATATAAACTATTTATAGTGTGTTTTATGGTAACCTCATCAACTTAGTAGTTGCTTCAGTTCAAAATATTTTGTTCCTTGCCTCACTGAAATTGTTATTCTGTAGGATGCATGTTTCGACTTTTTGGGGCAGATGTTTTGCTATATTTGTGGAGTGGTGAGATCATTCATACATATTTCTTGTTTTCTACATCTATGATTATCCAAAAAGCTATTATCGACCTACTGTACTTAATTTGGAGCATGTGAATCATGAAAATTAATGATAAACGAAGCAAAAATTGGTTGAAATAACTCTTAGGTCACTGACTACTTGAAGCAATTTAGCGTTTCAAGCCCGATAAAAATTACCACAATCTAGTAGTTATACTTGTGGCGCTCCGTTTTTCATATTCTTTAGACCATGTTATTAGCAAGAACATAGCCACTTTGCCTCTTTGGAATAAACTGGTTCTAAGTTATCACAAAGTGGCCTATGACCCTAACAAACGTAGGTTAGTTGACGTTAATACTGAATTATCTGTCTTTGGAGTCTCATTCTCTGGTTTTAGGTAATGCCTATTAACGATTAAGCGTATAATCCGCCAGTTCTTTTCGCCAATACTCGACACTTGCCCGTAACTGCAGAAAACACGCTCGTAATTGCCATATGTAACCAATAATGTTGCACATCTCGACTACAGGACCACCTGTATGCTCAAAAGCCAGAAGACTTCCTGTTTAGAAAATGCTGCCGTAACTTCTAAAAAGCTCATTAATGACATTTTTGGAGGTCTCAGCCTTGTGCTAATATTGATGACTGTCTCGATGTAAGTTCGGATCTAGAATCTCATCTCCAGCATCTGGATCGCGTTTAACAACGAATTCAGATTCATCCAATATCTTTCTCACAAGCTAGCATAAACCAGTTGATTTCTGTGCACTTGATTCATGTTCTTTGAGTACGTTTCCAAGTGTTTGTTCGTGTCCGATGGGCAATAGTCTAACCATTCGGCTGCACTAATTCTAGTCATTTGGCAGTAGATTTATGGATTTGTATATCCCATGATGTGACTGAGTGCGTTTGTTTCAGGGCAGTGGGGTTTCTGGATACTGGTAGCGACCACGTTACCAGGCCCGGAGATCACTTAGTTTGCTGAGGATACTAATAAGACGAAAATTCGTGACTTCCGAAGGAACCTGGCTTTCGTCATGAGATGTCATAACTGTTTACGCGTTGAATGGAGTGAACTGCTGAGCAAATAAGCTAATGAAGAAGAGATTTTAAACTAGGCGTAAATGTGTGAAGGATGTAGCGATCGCAGTGAAAGCTGTGAGACAAGAAAACATGAGACAAACAACGAAGAAGCTCACTGAAAAGTATTATGAAACAGAACGGCCAGTTGAGAACACAAAAGGCAAAGCCAACGGCGACATTTAGGAACAACGAAACTGGTGGGTGGGGCATTCTGCAATAGAATTGAATAGAATAGCCTCACTGAACACATCCATCATTGAAGCGGCGTCTACAAACTTCACAGTTGATGATAACCCACCAATGACTGAAGAAATCAGCGTAGCCATCATAATAATCAACAGCCGCAAAGCAGCAGGATCAGGCAGTCAGATATTACGTAGAACTCCGTACGATCGTACATCAGTTCAATTTGCCATACCACATTAGCACGCAGAGATCAAATTGTCGATTGTGGGCGTTGAAGCAGAAGTAGCTGTAACTAGAAGGGTGCACCAAGCTCTCTTCAACAAGATTTGGAAAGAAGAACAAGTGACAACAATGTTTTTGAAAAAAATGGGAGATTCTATGGGCACCCAACTTCGAAATCAGCACAATGGATTCCGTAAAGACCTCTCCTGTACTGGCCAATTCGCGACACTACAGATGGTTGTGGAAGGATAAGGTGGTTTTGAAATGTCTTGCATATGCGACTGCTTCGACGAGCAATAACTTGCAGTGTACGGGTAGGCTGTACGAATACCAGTGGCGGCCAGGCCAAATAATGGCGCAAATCCATTAAGTCACTGACAGGTGGACTAAGCCATATTTGTAGTTGTAGACTACCAAGTTAGGGTCCGCGATCAATAGTAACCAATGGCTAAAGACTTTGAATGATATTAGCTCAAAATCGTTTGCAATGGAGCAGATGCATCCATCCTTTGTCTTTTCTCAAATTCTAATCTTCTGAATCCCTCATGGTTATTTTTTATCTTTTTAAATTGATTCCACCGGGATATGCTTCTCAAAATATCTTCGATCCCTAGTCCATTTTATTACTGATAATTCTTTTATTACTGTGCGATTTGAATTGCGTCTCTGTGCTTATGTGGTATGGTAACTTGAATTGATTTACGTTCGTACGAAGTTCCACGTCGTAGCTGACTGTGGGACGTTCAATTGAATGGGATTCACAACTGTACATTAGTTTCCTAGAATACAAGAAAGCATTTGATAGTGTAGATAGTATGACACTATAGTGACTTATTTGTGATAATGGTGGGCCTGAGTAGATAGTCAACATCATATAGAATTCTTATTATGGACTACACTACAAAATCATGCATGCAGGGCAGCTCACAGACTCATTCCAAGTTAAGATCTCTGTCAAACAAGGTTGCTTGTATAATTCATTTTGAAGGCTTCGTTTTCGGGGAAATCCCTCCATGTATATATTTGTGTTATGATCTAGCGCACTCTTTCTGTTAAATATTTTGGTACTCTGTTTAGTCCCGATTCGGGATGTTAATATTTGTATTTTGTTATAATTCCTATTTTTTGTACCTTTATTGGAGTTTATATGTTTATTACTGAACTGTAAATGAATTGTTCAGATTGATATTTAATATGGCTTCAGCTATATTGGAATTGATACCTCTGCGGTAACTTTGTATTCTTGACTGGAAGGACGCATCCTTCCAGAATTGGAACTCATTGTGTTAATTTTGGATCGAAACAGTATAATATTCTTTAGGTAATTGTTTGTATTCCTTTTTTGATTGATAATAAAACCGTTCTTACCCAGAAATTTATATTTTGAATTTGGACTGGGCAAGGCGCGTATATGACTCATACTGTTTCCGAAATCAAGGTTCACTGAAGTGGAATTTTCTATATGCTTACTGACAATCTTTCTCTTTCTTCTGGTGGTTGACTGGGTTATGAAGATGTTTGCATCTCAGTGGAAGCGCGTAATTCATTGGAAAACTGGGATGCAGCTGGACGATCACGCTCTTCTGTCACACACACAACATCCAATGCAGAAATCATCCAGTGTAGCAGCAGCCTCAGCAGCACAAGGTCTCAACATACGTAAGGGAAGAAGCACAGCTCTCAAATGCAGCACAGCATGCACTAACCAAATCACTCTTGATAGAGATGCCTTTTACATATCTGGGCAACCTCATTGACGAGCAGGCTGGATCTGATGCACATGTGAAGGCGCGGATCGGGAAAGCAAGGGCTGCCTTTCTTCAATTGAACAACATCTGCCATCCAAAACAACTATCAACCAACACCGGTCAGAACTTTCAATACAAATGTCAAGACAGTTCTACTATATGGAGGGCAAACTTGGAGAACGACGAAAGCTACCATCTAACAGGTGCAAGTTTTTATTAACGGTTTTCTACGCAAGGTGCTCCAGATTCGTTGGCCAGGTCCCCTCAGGAACAGCCTACTGTGGGATAGAACAAACCGGATTCCTGTGGAGGAAGAAATCAGGAAAAAGCGCTGGAGTTTGATCAGACACACATTGAGGAAATCACCCGGTTATATTGGAAGCCTTTATTCGGAAACGTCAAGGGCAAACGAAGGGAGGAAGACCATATTGACAGATTTCGCCGAAAAATTGAGACTGACCTTAGCATCATAGAAAACAATTGAAGAGACCTCGAAAGTGATACTTAGGTTATAGTTAGTCGTAGAATGCTGCTTTTAGGTTTCAGCTACATCATAGCAGGTATAAGTCACCAAGTAATTATCGTATGTTGAAGTAGATAGTCCGTCAGAGAGAATACGTGCTATGGAAAGGAGTTGAAGGTGTATGTTCGCGTAAAAGTCCCAGTGCGGCGTATCCTTTTCGAATGGATGCTGTTATTCTTAGATATTGTTAATCCACTGAATCAGACTTGTCCGCAACACAAATGGAGTGATGTAACTTTGTGATCGTAATCTAATTTTACCATGGTGCAGGAACTTTGCAATTGATTTAGATTATTATGATGGCGTTTCGTTCTCTGAACTGAAAGGTTTTGTTTGAAGAGGTTTTTACTGCTCTTCTAAAAAACATTTTCACAAACTTAATATAGAAACGAAGTATTCCAGTTTATTTGCGTACGACTCACAACGTTTGTTGTTGGTCTCAATCTCCACTGTGTGTCGTTGCCCTTCATATTCTCCTTTGATCTGGTTCTTGATCATATATTTGTCTTCGATTAGTTGGTGACTGAGTCAATCGGCAATCAACCAATATAAAACACTCAATCCCTTTTGAGCTGGTGGAGAATATTTGTAGCTCAGGT